GCAATCAGGGTTGATTTCTACCTGTTATTTTGAATGTTATTTTGAATGTACTGAGATGATATTGAGTTTCTCCAATTTGGTGGCCTCCTCCATCTAATAAATTAGTAGTTCTAGTCATGGACTTTTTTTTTTTTAGAGATGCCCTCTAATTGAATGTAATATGTTGTTGCATCAATTGTTTTAATCTATGTCCTGCACTTAGTTATAAGTGCATAATAACTAATGCTGCTTAACTATGTCCATATGTAAAGTATATGTGAGGGAATGTAGTAAAGAAGCCAGGAAATGAAATGCAAAAGGAACAAGGAATGAAAGGAATAACAAAACAGCCATTCACAAAAGAGTTGTTGGTCATGACCCAGATGTTCCTTAATTGGTGAACTGACTGAACCCCGTAGTGAAATAAAAGATTTTGTTTCCTGTTCAAGCCAGAGGAGATGCAGATACATTCCATTATAATCTCTTTAGTATGTTTTCGGCTTTCTTGCATGTAAGTAATCTGAAACTCTTGCCATGTTGTGTGCAAAATCAGTGATCAGAAAATTAGAGTCTTCTGCAAAGTAAGGATGGCATGTGACGGCTAATCTGTGTACATCTCAGGGGTGAAGAAGCATATTAGTTTATGCATTAATATAGGGTTGGGGAAAAAGTTACCAAAACAAATTCAGCTTGACAAGTCTTGCGCCTTGATGGCTGTCAGGACCTTTGGTGGTTGAGGGTAGCCATTGGCAGCATAAGGAAGGATAGAAGGAACAGACCGGCTTGAATCCTGAACACAGAGAAACCAATGTTTATGTATTGAGGGAGACATTGCAAAAAGGAGATGGGCCAAGGACTGTCCTCGAAAAAGGCCAAGCAGCTGATTTGATTTAATTAGATACAGGTAAAATTAAACCTTGTCAATAGGATGAGGATTACTATAGGATTACTTTTCAGCCCTGTATTTTGTAATTTTGACTCTTGTCCCATTCATAAATGACAATTTGTTAACAACTTTTGGAAGTCTCTAGGGTGGTGTTTCTCAACCTTGGCCACTTGAAGATGTGTGGACTTCAACCATGGCTGGCTGGAGAATTCTGGGAGTTGAAGTCCACACATTTTCAAGCGGCCAAGGTTGAGAAACATTGCTCTAGAGTCATGAGGGTTTTTGAGGCCCCCCATGTGGGCTTCTTGGAACTTCAGAGACAGCATCTTCAAGATGAGCTCAACTTCTGATGACTTAGTGGCATTGCCACGCTGTTGTGTTGTGTGGGTGGGTTGGCAAGAATACAGACATGGTTTGCCACTGCTTTCTTCCAGGATGACTTTCTGACTTCCTGGTCTAGCCTCAAGCTCTGGGGTTTCCTGGATTCTTCCATCCCAATACCAGCTAGACCCAACCCAGCTCTAATTCAACCTTCCCCAAACCCTTCTGATGTCTTGGAACCAGAACTCTGAAAATTCCCTGGTACTTTTCATCCAGTTGACCCCTGCCAAGGTGAAGATGCTCAAGCTGGGATTAATGGCAGCCAGCCCTATCCTTACACTCTTAACATCCTAGAGCAGAACAGAGGACTGGAAGAGGAAGTCAAAAGCAGAGGGGGAAAAGCTCTTTTCTTTCAAGCTGAGCCATTCCATGAGCCTCAAAAATATAGCATGGTTATTCTAGGTCAGCTTAAGCCCAAATGGTGTGATTCTGTGTGGATTGGGGAGATGTTACAACTGCTTTTGAGTGGGTCTCCACCTGCCTCCTACAATCTCTAGAAATGACTCTTTTGTTCTGGCCTCTGAAAAGACCCCTGGGCTACATTCTGAATCAGATCATTCCTCCTTCCCAAATCTTGGGATCACATTCAACCAGTATCTTTTTAAAAACTCACCCCACATTTTACCCCTGGGGTTTCCCTGGGAAGTCTTGCTCTGACTGCTGAAAAATTCCCCCCAAAGATGGTGTCATCTGGTGACCTAACGAGTGGAAGAAATGTTTGTTGCATCTAGGAAGGGAGAAGAAAAGGACATATGATTACATGACAGACAGAAATCTCGGGGAAATCCAATAGTCTTGGACTGTTATCTTAATAAATAGAAGATAATGTATCTTACTCAAGGACAGTATCAGAGCTGTGCAGTACTGCTGAAATGAAACTCATTTTAAAGGTATTAATAAAATTATTTGGTCTGTATTACACACAAAGAGGAGCTAAGTGGCTACAGTGGGTTGTAAGTTATGCATTTTGCACCACTTCTAAGGTCATGTTGCTCCTCTGGTGTTGGTTGTAACCTGCAGTGATGCCTCTGTATGGTTTAATTCCCTGGCTGGGGACTTCTGGGAGTTGAAGTCCACACACTTTCAAGTTGCCAAGTTTGAAAAACACTGATTTAAAAATCTACTCTTCCAAGGTCCCAAATTGGAGGGGCTTCTGGAGAGCAGCTTTCCACATCTGGTGATCTCCAGATGTGTTGGGATGGCAACTCCCTGAATTCCATAACAATAGGGCCATGCCTACCAGCCATGGTGCAGTTACCAGACTGGGGAAGTTTTTAAGGTAGACCTATCCCACCCCACACAAAAAGCCAGATGGATTTTATCTGTCTGGGGAAACAGGCATGGCTTTACAACCCTTCCACTCAAATAGCATTTCAAGAAAGTCAGTGGACCTTCTGCTTATCGCAAGCCATCCTCTGATTTTGCTGATGGAGCAGCAGGGAGTGAATACAACAATGTCGGCAGCTTAATTTTTGTGAGGATAAATAGCATTGTTGATTAAACCAGGACAAACCTTCCCACAGATCTCAGGGCAGGAATAGCTGGGAGAGAGACTGAGAACTTGCAAGATGCTATCAGAGGCCGTAAGGTTCAGAAGACACCCAAATAGTCTCACTACAGAAGAGACTGCCAGTGGTAAATTTAGCTGCTTGCTCCACCATAGGGCACAGAGAAAAGGTTCAGAGGACAATATTCTGCAGAATATCACTTGTCCAGGAGTGTCAGTAGAAGAGGGCTGTTGGAGTCAGACAAGTGAAAACCCAAAGGAAGAGGGGACAAGAAAGGAAGGAAGGAAGGAAGGAAGGAAGGAAGGAAGGAAGGAAGGAAGGAAGGAAGGAAGGAAGGAAGGA